TGTACCAGTATTGGTAGTCTTTCTAGAGACATTTTTCACATTATTATACCTTGGGCAATGAGCTCCATCTTCTTCTTGTAGTGCTTATTGGAACACTGTTGAGCTAGCAGGGTCAACAACAAGTTTAGCTACCTGAATGTTAATTCACATGAGGGGTGTATAAATTCAGAGTACAATAGTTGGTTCTTAGTGGACTTGTCATCCACATGAACTGATTCCAGATTGAGATTGTTTGTAGTAACCTGAGATAGAACTCTTTACGAAGTTTAGGAATTGTTAGCTTCATAGATGAGCTGCTGTTATCCAAAAGCAAATATAAACCAGTTAATTAGCACGGGCGAAGGACATTCCTTCTGGAGCAGTCTGACTATTTGGAGCCATGCAAGAAGAGGAAGGATATTATTGGAGTTCTAGCAAGATACTGAACCCTTGCCATTCAGCATGGGGGGTCTATCCTATGCAGAACTTGATGTGTGATTTAGGAAGAAGCCTGGAAGAACTTTGCTCCCTATCTCCACAGTGGTGCCTGGTATATACTTTAGAGTAGTTGGTGATTTGTACCAATACCAACTCAGTTTAACCCATCTTCTATATTTCTGCTGGTTTGCTTGTGGTAACTTCTGTAATGTGCTTTCACATGTTCTGGGACGAGTGGGAGAATGCTGCAACAGTAGGGTTGTTCTTATGGGATATTCTACTATTGAGCAGGGAACCAAAATTAACATCAAAGAGAAACACATTTTGGTGTGTTTTTTCTTTTCTGTTTTTAGAATATGATGCTTTTGTTTGGTAGAAATAATGCTGGATTTTTTATTTCCTTCTGAGACACCTGACCGGCAGCTACCTCTGACTTGAGCATCCTTTCCTTTCTCACTGTATTGACTACAACTGCTGAAGTGCTGAGTTTGCGCAATACCTGTTTAAAAACCAAATCCCAAACTGAACTGAATCAGCTTGTTAAAATGAATGGAAACTAGCTGCACTTCTCTAGGCTTTTATTTGGAAGTATGCTTTGTGTCCCATTTTCATTGTATTTTAAAAATACTTTTGTAATCTGAAGTCTGTTTCTTTTAGTTTTTTCTAGAACCTAATGCAATGTGCTTACTCTGGGGCTTCTGGCAGGCAGGAAGAAGTCATAAACATCTTCCCAAATGCCTTGAAGTCACTTATTGTTGTCAAGGTATCACTTGAAATAGGTTTTTAGACCAATACGGTGAGCAATAAGGCAGTTTGCATGCTCCAAGCAGCAGGGTAAAAGCCAGTCTTTGTAGCAGCAGAAGTCAAAACTGAAAATTAAGTGACCCTCCATGAAACTAAAGGGAATCATATTAGTACCAAGCTTTAGATTATGACCGAGAGTGGTACTGTAGTTGTTAATGGGAGGGAGTCCCATGAGGGTAGAATAGCAAGTTCTGATTTTTCGTTCTGGTTGCTGAGAGTCTCTGGCCTGTGCATGGGGAGCCAGGAGAGGAGCAGTGTTCTCATTCCGCTTTCCAGCAGCGCTGCAGGTTGGAAGGGCTTCGCATTCACACTATACCTCTGAACAAACTACATGTGAAAATTCAGATTCCTGAGTAATTTAGGTGTAGGTCTGTGAAAGGGATTATATCCTCTCCTCTTCTGCTTTGACACCAAACCTGGACAGCAGAGGTCTCAAATATTTCATGTTTTCAGCTATTGGTGTGAGTTTTATGTCTGTGGAGGATCTGGGACTAATCCATTCCCTGAACATCAGTGACTGGGATGTTTAGAGAAGTATGAGCTTAGAAGATGACTGGAATGGTACAGAATGGACAAAAAAAGGAATGAGAAAGACATTGAGAGTGGAATGGAAAAGAATAGAGGAAATTTAAGAATGCATTCAGATATACTGCTTTTGGGAAGAGTAAAATGTGAGTCTGAAAATATAAAGTGATGGGAAAGGGCAAAAAAATCCAACCTTAAGCCATTATGTATTACAGGAAGAAAAGAAGTGGAGTCAGGAAGCAACATAACCAAAGCATTATGAGACTATAAGATTGTATTCATTGCCTATTAATAGGATGCTGATTTACGAGTTCACTGTAATATGTACAGTAGAAAATATTTTCCTGGTCTAGCATTCACATGGAAGGGATGTGAGCTCAGTGCTTTCTGCCCTGTTGACACTTATTTAGGGAAGATGGGGATATAGGCATTTTTGTACATGTGACAGAGCCACATTTCTGAGTCATTGGTATTTAGGTATTCCCCTCTCCCCTCACCTACCTTTTTTGTGATCATATAGTTTTTATACATGGTATGATTTGGTTAAAAAAAAATAGCATTTGTAAGTTAGCCTTGTAAGGAATTTCTTTTGTTTGAGATTTTTTTGAAGCTGGCTGCAGAAGACAATAGCTTTTACACTAAAGTCTGTGTTACTACATTTTATTTTAAATCAGATTATTGGAAGAATTTGTAAATCATATCCAAGAATTACAGGTAATGGATGAAAGGATTCAGAGAAAAGTGGAGAAACTAGAACAGCAATGCCAGAAGGAAGCAAAGGAATTTGCCAAGAAAGTACAAGAACTGCAGAAAAGCAACCAGGTAAAACCCAAAGAGTCAGTACCAAGTTGTGCAAGTTTTTAAAGTGTCACGTGGTCTGTTAACATCTCTTGGTATAGTGTGCTACTGTTTGAGATAAAAATAAAGAGGGTTTGATGGAAAACAATTTCCCCTGTCAGAGGGGGCTTATCTGCCTGTTCCATTAATGAGTGTTAGCTAGTCTGAAAGTAGCAAGCCTTCACAATAGTTTAAAGGAAGACACTAAACTTTCAGCAGTTGTGTGCACTTAATTAGTGGTTGTGAGTAGTTCTGAAACACAGCACCTGGAAATCTGTTGCCTGCATTCACTGTGCTTCTTGCTGAAGTAAATCTAGTGTTTCCTTAAGTACAGTAAATGGAAAGCCTGAGTTTTGTGCCTGTGTCTATGTTCTCCCAGGTTGCCTTCCAACATTTCCAAGAACTAGATGAGCACATCAGCTATGTAGCAACTAAGGTCTGTCACCTTGGAGACCAACTGGAAGGGGTAAACACACCACGGCAACGGGCTGTGGAGGCTCAGAAGCTGATGAAATACTTTAATGAGTTTCTGGATGGAGAGTTGAAGTCTGATGTTTTTACAAACTCTGAAAAGGTAAGAGCTGTCAGTGGGATGAAAGCAGTTCAAAGCAACGAGCAGTACTGCCCTAATTACAAGCTGCTACCATGACTTACCATGGTCAGACTTCAAACCAGTGAGTGACTGACTTGTTAAAGTTTCATTGTTCTGAAATGTAAATTAACAACACCAGGCTGCAGATTGCTGATAAAGCATTTATGTTCAGGGATACTTAATGTGGCAATGTTGGCATTTCTCATTTTAGGAAATTATCAGAGATTTGAGAAATGCTGGGAGGGCAACTTTTAAAGTGCTTATAATATCTGCCTTTTTCCTTTGAACCCCTTGCCTCAGATCCACCCTGTAATGCAGAACATTTCTGAATACAACTTCTTTGTGAAACTTTACTCTGTTGGGTCAGTCCACTGGCCTTGGATACCTTTTTGTCACAGCATGCCTTTGAGCTTTGTATAGTCCTGTGGTTATGTCTCCACCCTCTGAATTTAGAGGAACCAGGCACAAAAACTTCAAAGTAATCTTGAAGCTTTTTTTTTTCCCCCTTGTGCTTCAAGAGTATGTTCATGAAGCAAATATAATCTGAATGGTGTGGCTAATAGAAATGAAGGAAGAGTGTCCAGTTGTAAGCAAAAGAGCACATATTAGATTTCCCTGTGCAGTTTGAAAGATAAGATGTTGGCCTGAGGGTTTTATTGAGGTGTATCCTGAAGAATCTTCCTGTTCTCCTTAAAATTTGTGCAAGGGTATGGTTGTAGTCAGGAGAAATTTACAGTATGTGGGAACAGCAAAACCTTGGTTTGCACATTCAACAAAAAATACGTGCTTGAAATGCAACTCAAAGGATCTGAGAATAGGTTAATAGTCATCCCCTCTCTACTGAGCTGAAAGTATCTCTTGGGAAAATGAAAAAACTGATCATTTAATATAGTTACATTCTCAAGAAGTCAATTGCATGGTGACTTTTGATTCATAGTCTGTGGATATATGGTAATTGCCAGTTGATAGTTTGCCCTAATCAGAGAGGCAGCACAGAATAACTTCCCTGACTTCCAAGGAAAGCAGAAAGATTTCAGCATAACAGAAGTTCTTCTATGGATAACCTTCTCCAGTTCTGAAGAATTTATTTTTATTTCCTATGTAGAAATAAAACATGCATTTAAAAAATATTTAATGGCAGCATGGTAAATTACAAAGCTTAAGTGAAATAGAATTATAGTTTTTCTGCTAAAGAGTCTCATAAACTTCAACTTTCACTTCTAAGTTAAAGTTTTGTAGCATTTGATGTTGGAGAATCTCAACGAACTGGTAGATAAATAGGGTAAATCTAAAAGTTGGTGAACAAAGTAGTCTTCAGGGATAAGAGACTAGCAAATTTGGATGAAGACAACTGTAGTATAAGCCAGAAGTCTTGTGCCAGTCTACAGAGGAAGTGTGTGGGAACACAAACAAGATTTTCTGGATATAAGTTATCTTACTGAAACTAATTTCAGTCAGGGTAGCTTAGTATTCTTCTGTCAAGTTTTGCCTCCTAATTAATATTAATTAGATGTAGTGTTTATAAACGAGCCTGCCAAGACATGTGCTATCACATCTTAAGGCATCTTTGAAGTAAAAATAATTCTAAAGTATGAGGTAGTAACAAATATGCTTAAATGCAAACCCTTAATGCTTTGTCAGTGTCTTCTGATCTTTGAACTGACGTGGGTTATACATTGGTTTTGGAGGATGGTATGATTTTTTTTCTACTATGCCATCCCTCCCAAGTGTGGGTTTTTCTTTGATATGTTGAGGGTGGGGTATACTGTGAAGAGGAGCCAAGGAAGGAATTACAATGCAGTTATTTCCTAGGGAATTCCTATTTTTCTCAGCAGTGTCAGTTCTTAAAATCTGTTGGATTCCTTTTTTTCCTGTACTTAAGTTGTTACTCCCCACATTACTTTGTGGCAGCCATACTGGGCAATTTCTAACTTAAAGTCTCTGTGAAGGTTTTTTTCCCTGCTGTCTTGTCCCATCCTATATATTATGTGTCTTCATCCTCTCAATCCTTATGATTTCACTTGCTCTGCTAACTAACCAGTCTCTCTCCTGTACTCCAAACCCCTCTCCTCTACATCCAGAGTCTAGAAGTGAGGAAATTGCTCTGGTTAAAACAATCAAGCTATCAAAATAATATAGCAGCTCACTTGTTTATCATACAGTAGTATTATCTTGTGTTCAATGTGTTTGCTATAATTCTAACATCCTTTTCTATAATTATGTTTTGTACTCACCATTATACCATGATGTCTTTTAATTTCTTCATAAAAATATTGTGTTAAAATTCTCTTGCTGTTACTTGTCCATGATTTTTTCAAATTTTTTTTTCTCCAGATGTGTTCTAACCTTAAAGTTGTATTTGACAGAATCCATATTTATTTTGATTTAAGAGTTTACAGAAGCCTATTAAATTAAAAATGAAATATGTCCTGATTTAAGCAGGAGCCATGGAGAACTGATTTGTTATGGCTTCTGTTGTGCATAAAAAAAGGCCCTGAACCCAATAAAATCAAAGTTAGTTAAAAGCTGTTGTATGAAGGGGAGACAAAGACAATGTTGCAGTTGTGGGTGTTTGTTCTTTTTCTTTTCTTTTTCTGGTACATCAGTGAATAACTGCTGTTATAATAACTATTCTGATGCCATCAGTATTGCTCACAATTGTTAGTTAGGTATTAAGGTTGCTGTAAGCTAATAGAAATAACTGCTGTTGCACTGGATTTATTTGAGGAGTGTAGCTGCTTTTGACTTCAGAGGCTATTGTAACCTGACAGTCCAAACATAAACTGCTCTTAATAAGCAGAATGGATCTACTTTGAGAGCCCTTATTTTTGCTAAGTGACCCACCTAGATTGATGTCTATGCTCTGCATTCTTACCTATTTGTCCAGGTAGCTCAGAGACCTACACGAGCACAACCAGTGAGAACATGTAACATGACTTTTTATTATGTTTTCACCTATATAATTTTATGTTAAGAGAAATACCTTAAGTATCATAAAAGTATATTCTGGAACTTTAAGTGCATGGTCTCTTCCGTGGGTGTGTCAACTCAACCAGCTTTAGAAGTAGGAACTACATGTATGAAAATGGGGCAATGGAGGGGGAAGAAAGGAGTAGCCCACAACTTTTAATATTTCTGTCATGTTTCACTCTTAACAGATTAAAGAGGCAGCTGATATTATTCAGAAACTGCATTTGATTGCGCAGGAACTGCCTTTTGACAGGTAAAATTCAATCTTAACATCTTTTAAATAACAAAATCTTTACATAGCTTTAATTTTCTGATGCTTCCTTTGTCTTCTTTTTTGGTGCTTTACTTAGTGATTTATGTAGCTTTTGAGATGGAGCGTGTGCTTAATTCTCTCTCCTCTATTCTCAAACTTGTGTTCATACACTCATGTTGCAGGATCATCTTTCCACGCACATCCTGAACTGCTTAACAGACTTTGAATGGGCTAATTATCTGTGCTGACTTCATGTTAGATTTGAATTAGGTGCTTTAAGGTTTTTGTGGATATAAACCACCTAACTTTTCTGTCATCTTTGTGTTAGATGTTTTCATTTTTAAGTAGACTGCCTGTTACTCATGATGTAGGATGCCTGTGGTTTCTCTTGTCATATGGATTTGAATTTAATTATGGTATTTTTTTGTTACTAACAGGTTTTCTGAAGTAAAATCAAAGATAGCAAGTAAGTTATCTATACAGTTCAATCCATACTCCTGTATTTGAATTGTTAAAGATGATTAAAGAAGTGTGCAATGCTGTCAGTATTACAGGTTTTGTCACTGCTTGCATTACCATAACCTGACGGATTTTTGTTGTTATCCCCTTTCCCCTCCAGGTAAGTACCATGATTTAGAGTGCCAGCTAATTCAAGAGTTTACCAGTGCACAGAGGAGAGGTGAAATCTCCAGAATGAGAGAAGTAGCAGCAGTTCTGCTTCATTTTAAGGTAAAACCTGAGAATTTTAATTTAAACGTATCAATAAAACAACCCATGGTACAATAAGTTTTAAGTGAACATCATTGTATGGGTACAACCACCATATCAGATAACACATATAACATTTTAAAAATACTGGGATGTTCCATCTAAAATCAAATGCAGGGAAATTAATATGGCAGATGATGGGGGTTTGGAGGCAGTGTCAGTAGTGACCATTCTAAGATAATATTAACTTGTATGTGTGTGAAATTACTTAGATGCTTGAGAAAGTGTTGGAACCTGTGGGGTATATCCATGTAGAGTGGTGATAAGTGAATCACATAATTATTGAGGCTGGAAAGGGCCTTTGAGACCATCAAGTCCAGCCTATGACCTAACACCACATCAACAAGACCATGGCACTAAGTGCCACATCCAGCCTTTCCTTGGACACATCCAGGGATGGTGACTCTGCTACATCCCTGAGAAGTTCATTCCAATGTCTGATCACCCTCTCCATGAAAAAGTACTTCCTAATATCCAACCTAAACCTCCCCTGGTGCAGCTTGAGGCCAGGCCCTCTTGTCCTATTGCTAGTTGCCTGGGAGAAGAGCCTGACACCCACGTGACTACAACCTCCCTTCAGGTAGTTGTAGAGAGCAGTCATGTCCCCCAGGTCTCCTCCAGGCTGAACAACCCCAACTCCCTCAGCCTCTCCTCATAAGACTTTCCCTCTAGTCCGTTCACCATCCTCGTTGCTCTCCTCTGGAACCACTCCAGGACTTCAATATCTTTCTTGAAGTGAGGGGTCCAGAACTGGACACAGTTACATTGTAAGAAAAATGGGCTTGACAGAATCTACACTTTCCATTAATCAATTTATTTTTATTTTCAATTACTTTTTCATAGGGGTTGTTTTTCCTTGTTTTCATTCTAAACTGAAAGCATGGAGAACCTGCTTTAACATGGAATTGTTTTGTTTCTTCCATAGGGCTACTCCCATTGCGTTGATGTGTATATAAAACAGTGTCAAGAGGTAATGCATTTTGTTTTACGTGTATCTCTTTGGGTGTTGATGTATTTGGTCACTTAGGTTGTTGTAAATTTATTATGAAATGTTCTTCTAAAACCCTAGGGTGCATTCCTGAGGAATGATGTCTTTGAAGATGCAGCCATTCTCTGCCAGCGAGTGAATAAGCAAGTTGGAGAGGTCTTCAGCAACCCAGAGACTGTGCTAGCCAAACTCATTCAAAATATCTTTGAAGTTAAACTTCAGGTATTTCAAATTCTAAGATGTTGAAGTTCATTGAGGAAACTTTTAATTAAGAAAATGCTGCATCTTGTAAAAATGATTAATAAAACTTAACAATATTTGTAGTCTTGTGTAAGGATGTAGAATCACAGCTTGTTGCTCTGTAACAGTGTAACCAGATAATCAAGCCTATATCAAATAAACCTGCTTGTGCTCTGAATATAGTGCAACTGAAAATACTCAAATTCAATATTATAAAAAGGGAATCAGTGTGTTCATTAGCTCATTTACAAGCTGCCATATGCATATTAGATTTCTTCTGTGTGCCACCTACAAAGAATAGAAGTTCTGCATTTAACAAGTATCTTTAATCTGTTCATTGTTGGAGTTGGGTTTCATGTGTGGGGTTAGCACTGAACAAGCAAAAATAATTTGTTATGAGTACTGTCTCACAGCTAATGTAATATTAATGTGCAAGTCTGGAATAGTTGAAAATGTTAAGGTTTCTGTCCTGCAAATACACTTAAATGTGTAAAGTCAAGAACAAAACTATTGACTGCAAAAAACGATTTCCCTGTAGATGTTTTCCTACTTAAAGTGTAAAGATGGAGCTTGTGTTTTAACCTAAAATTTCTGTGTCAGTTTTGACTTAGTATTATATGGTAAATAATACATTTTTTTGTCCAAATAATCAGTGACAAGAAGGCTCTAAGCTTTTATCTGCTTTGTGTATGTATTCTGATAAGCAAATATGTAAGCATCTCCTTTGCTTACTGTCAGCTGCAAAAATGCCCCTAGGCCTCTGGTGCTTTTGATTCTTAAAAAGGAGGGGATTTTGTGTTTGTTGGTCAAGCATATTTTTCAAAGCAATCTGTCTTTTGTCTTAGCTTCACACACTACTGCTTTGTATTATGAAATAATGTTCTTCTAAAAGATGCATTTAATTCTGTCTCCAAATAATGTAGGATCTGTAAATCAGAGTTTTAAAACCAGAGAATATATTAAATACCTTAAAAATACACACAATTTGCAGTAAGTTACATATAATCTAGTAAGTAGTGAGTATGACCTGTGGTTACTAGTTAATCTTCTAATAGATGTACCCAAATTTTACAGAGTTATGTGAAGGACCAGCTAGAAGAGCACAGGAGGTCAGATGCAGAACAGTATCTTAAGAATCTCTATGATCTATATACAAGGTATTTATATGCTGCTGCTGAAATTATTGTAGATATTCTCTTGTAATAGATTGATTATCAAGATTTAGGAAGCCGAAAACATAAACATCTCATAAAGATGGAAACATTTTAGTGGGCATTAAGCTTTGCAATGATTGCTTTCCTAAAGAAAACTTAAAATTGCCATTATTATTCTTCATGGGAAGTATTTAGTACAGTGATCTTTGAGAGTAACTTCAAAACTGTGCAAAAGCCAGTCCTCTGCATCTCACTGGCAACTCAATTGTTGGCAGTTAAACTGTCTGTAATTACACATGAATTACCTGAAATTCTTTACTTAAATGTAAAGCTGCTAGAAGTCTTAATTTCAATCAGGATTCTGTTGTGCTTTACAAACATATAATGCTGCAATTCATACAAATTCAACCTTCTCCTCCTCTCCCCTTCTTTGTTTCTTTTGCATAAAGAACTACTAGCCTGTCAAGCAAATTGATGGAATTTAACTTGGGTACTGATAAGCAGACTTTCTTGTCTAAGCTTATCAAATCCATTTTCATTTCCTACTTGGAGAATTACATTGAGGTGGAAATTGGTTATCTGAAAAGTAGGAGTGCTATGATTCTGCAGCGCTACTATGATTCCAAAAACCACCAGAAGAGGTCCATTGGCACTGGGGGGTAAGTTTCTTCTGTGAAGTTTCATGCTTTTAAAATGGAAGGGAGGTGGTAAGGGGAGAAATGTGGTGCTTGCCATGTCAGATGTACAGTGATGAACTGCAGAAGTGCAGGCTACTTAAGTGACCTACAGCTTTTTCTGTTTTGTTATCACTTCACATTAACTTCTGCTAAAAAGTGTATTGCTCTTGGGACATGTGAAAGGTGTTGCATGGTATTTATACACGCCTGGGAAATGAAAAATACCAGTTAAACCTATGTTTCAACTTAGGATCCAGATCCACAAAAGGACTGAAGCAAAATTAAGGTACCTAAAGCATGTATATGTGTGTATCTAAAAGCATACATTTTTTTTCACCTGCCCAGGTCTTGTGGTCCCCTCCCAAGACCTAGGAAGGGGAAAAGACAATAGCAGTGTCAGTGAGAAAGCTTTTAATGAGCCCAGAAGATGCAATGGACTTAGAGAAAGGTAAAACAAGACTTCATTATCCTCAGGGTAGGGAAACCCTTAATAAAGGACTAGTGAGAAGTGGGAGAGGAATTAAAACTTGTGTGAAACAGAGTGTTAAGACTAGTGCACCTTTCAAAGAGCTACTGGGTTCAGTGTGTCAGGAGTGAAAAGTGTTTTGGAGACAACTGCAGCTCCAAAGTCATTAAATGAGTTAAACATGAAAATTTAATTTTCTTGGGGAAAATTAAATTGATTGTAGTGACTGACTTGATGGGTTGTTTTATGCATGGAAATGTGTTGGAGCATGCTTGGCTAAATCAAGACTGCTGAGGTAGTGGATGAGGATGAGAAGATTTGTGGGCATGGATGACATAGCTGTCATGAGTGTTTTCAAAGTGCAATGTGACAATGTTGAGAGGCTAACCTTTGTCCACAGAGCATGAGTGCCATAGGATTCAATTGAAATAAAATTTCAATTTAATAATAAGCAGGGAGTAGCTGCTCCCATGGTGTAAACATGCCATGGTAGAACTGAGTTTGACGATGGAATCAGAGGTGGTAGTTTTGCATTTACTGACAATTTTCTTTTTTAAGCTTGCAAGACTGTCTTAATGCTTGCATATCCTAAGCTGTGTCTTGGGTTCTGCTTAAGTTAACAACTAAAATAGCCTAAGTCATTGTCGACTTTGAGCATCAACATTTCCAGCCAGTGAAATCTCCTTTTGGTGTGTCTTTGTTTTAGCATTCAAGACCTCAAAGAGAGAATACGGCAACGTACAAACTTACCACTGGGGCCAAGTATTGACACACATGGAGAAACTTTCCTGTCTCAAGAAGTGGTGGTTAACCTCTTGCAAGAAACTAAACAAGCTTTTGAAAGATGTCACAGGGTAAGTTTGCTTCCTGTGATCTCCATTAATGATATCATTTTGTGTGTGTAATTGAACCTTGAGGTTCAATTTAATTGAAGTGTGATAGGAAGAAAAGAAGGGCGTGATTAAATTAATTATCTTCTGTGTTTTTCACTGGTCAATGTCATGGTGGAGACCAAGGGTTTGCTTTTTGAATGTGAATCAAGTTGAATTATGTAGGTTTTAATACTCTCTGGTTTTGAGGGAAGTGATGATAGTTAAACCTACTGTCTACATTGCTTTTCTTACTAAATTAGACCTGAGAAGCCTTGAGTGTATTTTCTTTTCATGCTTTAAAAAATACAGAGAATAGTTAAACAGTTGTTTTCCTGTGTCAAGTGCCATTTCTTCTCACCAGTAAAATGCTGAGAGGTATAATCTTTTAATGTGGTTTACATTGGTAGCTCTCTACTGTTCCTTAAAAGCTTTAGTCTAGTGAAAAAAAGTGTTTTCCTTCTGATTAAGTCACTGGTTTTACTGCCTGTCAATTACTGATTGTCTGGTACTTTACTGTAAATGAAAACCCTTGAAAATAAATTGCAAACTTAAATACTAGGGATTTTTTATTAGCTAAACACCCTGATTACTAAATAATTGTAATGCCTCTAACGTTCTAAATTAGCTTAGTGCAGAAATACTTGACATTGTAGATATTTAGGAGTTTTAATAGTTTCTATACTTAGAGGGGCCGAAGATGATAACACAAAATACAGATGTTGCACTGTTACCTGCACACACTGGGTTGACCAGACTTCCTAGTGGTGAAAGTCAGTGGCTACAAGACAAGCAGGTAGATCATTATTTTTCTCACTGTGACAGTTGCTAGAAACAGTTATTAAATTCATTACTTAAACAAACCTTTACATATTTACATTTTACATATCGGAGGTGGAAACTAATGGATCCTGTCATATAAGAAGGTTTTTAGAATTACAGATGTATTACTTCTCCAGGATCACACATGCTTCTTGGGATTTGTTTGTGGTCAGGGCAACTCACTGTGCAAAAGGGAAGTTATAGTTGCCCTTGGCCAACTAATTGTAATATTTATATCACATGGCAGTTGCATGTAGACACACTGCCCCAACTGTGACTGCTCTAAAAAAACAAGTTGGCAATTTTGAATATAAACGTATATTGAAGCATTTCAATATTTGGAAATCTCTGTGTCAGTGTCTTGTTGGGGTTTTTTTCTTGGTTTGTTGGGGGTTTTTTTTGGGAATACATGAGAAATCTTTGGGTGTGTTGTTCCATAAATTAACTTGAATTGCAGTAGTAATCTTTCTTACTCCTAGCTTCATAAAGCATTCACATCATTCCTTAAAAACCAAAACTGCATTTCTTCTGTGCAAAAGCCCTATCATGTTTTTCTTTAGAAAAGGGATTTACTGACAGGTTGCTGCCCAAAATCCCATGTTGCTTTCAGCTGATGAAGGCACAGATGCTCTGTGTATACGTGGGCATTACTTCACTTAGTAAACATTGCCATGCTCCGTTGACTCCAGCTGAACTAGGATGAGTGTAGCTGAGGTTCAGTCTGTGTTGTTTTTTCCTGCAGTTCTTTTGCAGAAAGAGCAGCTGCACTGGGTGAAACTGAAGGTCCCTCTAGCCCAGTGTCCTGTCTCTGACTGTGCCCAGTGGCAGAGGCTTAGTATAAAGAGAAAAAAGGCAGGGTATAGATAGTGTCATCTTTCCTGTATACATTTTCCCAGCATCCAGTGGGGTGCAGTTTAGGTAATTCCTGAGGTTACATCTGAGCAATTGTGTTTTAAGGACTATTAATTAATAGATTCCATGATGATGATGACCTTCAGCTTTCTGTGACATGCTTGCTTCAGCTTACTTTTTAATACTGAAATGTTTTTGATACTAAAGGCTGTTCCTGAATATTTCTCTGTACGGATACTTTTCATTTAGAATAAAATTCCAATTATTCTGGAATATTTGTTGCATTTTAAGCTTATCCCCTATGCCATATCAGATAAACTTTCAACTGTATGTCAAACTGACCTTTAGGATACTATTTTTTTTTTCCTTTCAAGCTCTCTGATCCTTCTGACTTACCGAAGAATGCTTTCAGAATTTTTTCAATGCTTGTAGAGTTCTTATGTACTGAACACATCGATTATGCATTAGAAACAGGCCTTGCTGGTGAGTATAATATTTTCTGAGCATTTCAGCTCACTGGCCTTTTTGTGTGGATGATCTTTGCAGGTCCTTGCTGTGCCTTATCGATTGGCCTTGGTCAGAATGTGTCGGTTAAAATGCAATTTCTTTTGTGTATTTAGGAGTCAGCATTTAATGTATTCTAAAGTGTAACTTCCATTCAGGGTATTGATGCACAGATGGAAACATGCTGCTGTCTTTGAAAACATTTGTGTCACAGAAACTGGGACATCAGCACTCCCTACCTCTTAATTTTTCTGTGTGCTGCAGCAGCAGAATATTTTTATATTAAGGTTTAGTGTCTTACATTTTAAAAGAATTCCATGCCTGTTTGTATACATGTGCATTTTAAAGAACAACAGTAAGAAAACTGCTTGTATTTCAGAAAATAAAATACTAACAGTGAGAACCTGTCTTTCCTACATAAAAGCACAAAACTTGTGTTCTGAAGAAATATTTAAACTGACTGTTCCATTTTACTTTTGGAAATTTTAAACCCAATATATTTCTGTGCTTATGGTTATCACCTGATACAGCTATGAGAAGTATTCTATATATGGCACCATGGTAAATTTTTGAAACTTTAAGCCTGTGATTTAAGCATTCATGGAAAAATTCTGCATATGTTAAAAAATCACCATGCTAATTATAAGAACTGCATGTCATTAGATCCCTAATGTAACCTTCTTTGCTTTAGGTATTCCCTCTTCTGATTCAAAGAATGCAAATCTTTATTTCTTGGATGTTGTTCACCAGGCCAATACTATTTTCCATTTATTTGACAAGCAGTTCAATGATCATCTGATGCCATTGATCAGGTACCTTATTTTGATTAGCATTTCCTTTCAGAATGGTCACTTTTGGTGTAGAAAGTGTTTTGTTTTTTACAATATTTTTTTTCCTTCATTTCTGTTAAGAAGAGTTTAAACTTGGAGTGGCTCAGCTTGGTGTTGTGGGAAGATAAAATCATAGAATGTGTTGGGTAGAACCCTAATGATCATCAAGTTCCAACCCCCCTGCATGGGCAGGGACACCTCCCACCAGACCAGGTTGCTCCAACCCCAATCCAACCTGTCCTTGAACGTTTCCAGGGATGGGGCAGCCACAGCTTCTCTGGGCAATCTGGGACAGGGTCTCCAATTTTAATCTATTACCCCTCACTACAAGCCCTGGCCCAGGTTGCCCAGAGAAGCTGTAGCTGCTCCATCCGTGGAATTGTTTGAGGCCAGAGTGGATGAGGCTTAGAGCAACCTGGTCTAGTGGAAGGTGTCCCTGCCCATGCAGAGGGGTTGAAACTAGATGATCTTGAAGGTCCCTGCCAACCCAAATCATTCCAGGATCTAAACTAGCCCTTTCTGAGGCAGTGGGAAATTTCACAAAATCCTGTTGTAAATAGTAGAGCCAGCAGACTAATTTCTTTTGATACTTTAACACTCAGTCACATGCTCAACCTTTTATACCTCTGCAGTTCCTCTCCTAAATTGTCTGAATGCCTTCAGAAAAAAAAGGACATCATAGAACAAATGGAAGTGAAGCTGGATATGGGCATTGATAGGCAAGTAGAGATTTAAACTTGCTACTAATCATCAGTTCTTGTAAAACTCCTTTGTGATGTACATTAGCTTTCTTTGACAGGGGAATTATTTCTGAACACAAAATTGGTATTTTGTATTTTTCTTAACCATAAATATGTGTTATTGTACATAGGAAACTTAGATTTTGTTTGTTAGAGTGTTGTATTTTCCACAGCAGGTTTCTGAGCCATAAGTAGTTTTGTATGAATATTAAAAGGTTTTGGTTATGTTGAGAGAGTGCAATAATTCAGTTTTGCCTTATTGTCTCAAACTACTTTTTTCTACTTTAAAGGAAGGGAGGGAGGCATGATGATTGAAATAGGTTAGAGACTTACAGGATTTCCATGAGGAGCAAAGTTTGACAAAAATAGGTTAGGTTGATTTGCTTGAATCTGTGCAGTGCTATGGATTAAACCCAGTCACAGGAGTCTGTAGACCTGGCATGATGTTGATTCTGACATTGACTCTCTTTGAGGCTGTGAGTGACTCATTTAATCTTTTTTTTTCCATTTCTCCAAATAAAAATGAGAAGAGAGTTATAAAAATTGCAATTTAAAATCATAGCTGTTTTGCAGCAGAGGAAAATAAGAAAATAACAAGCTGAATATTAGGAAATTGAGCTGATGTGTGATGGTCTACTTTGGTCTGGGAAGCACATAGATTTCCCATATTTCAAGGTGGCATGAGTCAACCTAGAGCATGTTACCTAAGCTCTCTGTGCCTGATTTCTCTCTGTAGTAAAAGAAAGAAGTAATCTGGTGGGTAATGAGGGCTACTCTGTACATTATTATTATTGAGGTTTTTGTTAGGATCAACTGGAGAGGGATGAGAACAGCACTGTGTAGGAAAAACAGACATTATGTTTGTGTCCTACTGGGTACTGTCTGCTGAGAGATGAGGGATTTGATGTGTTATTTGCATCTATATTTGTTGTAGGTGGAAAAGGAAAAGATGGAGCTAGAGGGTGTGTGAGTGGAAATTGAGATTTTGGCTGCTTCTGCTGGAAGTGACCTTAGTGGTTTAAGCACAAAGTTTGAAATATTTGAACCTGTGAGGCCAGAAGCTTGAGTCGAGACAGGCATAGGCTGATCATCAGCATTACAGTAGTTTGTAACTGTGTAAAGTAATTTGTCTCTTAAAAGTGATGGTAAGACTTAGGAGAACAAGTTCCTGTTGGAAAATATGTTCAAAGGTTTGTGGATGGAGTCTTTAAAAAAAAAAAAGTGCTTTGGTACATACGAAAGAGATTATTTTTCAGATGAGTATTACAGATGAATATTCAGATGAGTATTACATCTAAAATGTTTGTGTGCCTGTTTACATGCTCCTTTGTGTCATCACACATGCTGTTGAGAATTGGTTCTCTTCTTAAAGGAATGATCTAGTTTAAAAAATAAAAGCAAATTTCTAAATATTTATGGTTTCAAAGTTGTCCAATCTGAAAAAGCTGCAATAACAGCTTTTTGAATGGCATTCATAGCAATTGTCTGCCTCTGCAAAAGTGATCTGTTAGCCAAGCAAAATTAGTTAAAAATTTTCTTTCAGTACGTATTCTGAGTAAACAGTATTTCTTGAGAATGGAAATTGAGGAGAATGCAAGATACAGTTTCTTTAAATTTCTATTGGTATGTAGATTGTTGAATGAAGTAAACCTGAAATGCAGGTCTGAGCTCTATGCATAGAAAAGAAGTTTATTCCCATTTTGGAGATCCATATTCTTTTCCCCTTCACTCCAACTTGAATCCTTCAAGGCCTGTAATGGCCTTGCCTGTGTTTTCTTCACGAAGGGGTTGAAGAAGGGGGTGGGGGGGTAAAAAATAGAAAGGCAGAGGTTCTTTGCGAAGGTGGGCACTGAGAGGTAGGCAGCCTCTCTTGGCTGCTTTGCTGTTTGACCTTTGGTTTGTATTGAAAGTAAACCAAAGTCTTGACCTTAGATAATGGGTCTGAAAAGAAATCCTGTGAGGAAGAAAGAAATGACACTTTAAAACTGTTAGATTTCTGAGAACAGAAGAAACACCAGGCTCTGGCAAAGGAAGAAGTTTTTCTTTTTTCATTATTGTGTGATTGTTGTTTTTTCCCCCTCTCCATTTTTTAAGTGTTTTCTGATGCTTGCTTCTGAGTAATATGCAGTGTGATCTAATTCTACTAAACTCTTTGTAATGCTTCCTTCATCTTATTCCCAGTGCATTGAAGAATGCTGTCCAGTTTCTCTGAAGAGCTGGATTTGAATGGATTACCTTACAATTAATGTGTCCCTTTTAAAAACAGCTGGCCAGCATGCTGTGTGCTCTGCTCCAAAGCACTGAATTTGGAGGAGAGATTTTTTAAGGTTGTCAAAGTTGTGGGTTTTGGGGTTTTTATTGGCTGAGTCTCCTTATTCTAGCTGCTTAAGTAAAATGGAGCTTATCTTCTCCAGAAAATTGCATTGCAACTTCAGGAGCGTGCCTGTGTGTGTGTGTGCATGTCTGTTAAAGGAAGTATTTCCTTTCTTATGTCCTGGCATCACTTGCTTCTTACACTGAAAGCAAACATTTGTTGTATGTTCTGTAGATTACTCAAGTGTTTGGTAGTGGAGCTTTTCCCTCGTGACTTCATGCTGCTGACTTTTGCATAGCATCAGATTGGTACATGTAAATATAAAAATCAAGGAAAATAATATTTTCCTTTCAAAACCCAATGTATGTTTGTGACTTTAAAGGACACTGAATTGTATGATTGGACAGATGAAGCATATCTTGGCTGCAGAGCAAAAGAAGACAGATTTTAAACCAGAAGATGAAAACAATGTTTTGATTCAGTATACTAATGTAAGTAAAATCAGTTCCAACTCCTCAGTATAGCCTCAAATGCTCGTGACTGTTACCAGGTACAATATGTTCCTTACCAAGCATGCATTAGACAACGTGTGCATTTGATTAGTTAATTGCAATAAGCACTTTCAAACTCCGTTGAGGACTATTTTATCAAGCTGAAAAGGAACTGTACCTAGTGTCAGACTCAAATCTGTAGGTGCTGGAGGAACTGTCACAGTTTCCTCTCCCAAGAGTCCCAGATTTAGAACAAGGTTTTTAGCTGATAATTAGCTTTAAGATACCAGTTTCATAAAATCAGTTATCAGGTACTCTAGTTGCTGGGTGCTTTTTCCCCTTAGAATGGCAAGAGCATGACAAAGCATCCTGGGTATGGCAAGAGCATTCTTCAGTGCAGAACCAGTGAATCTGTCTGGATCTCTCTGCTGAGGAGCTCCAGTGCTGCGTTACACTAGGCTCACACTAGGCTCTCGTTAGGGAACAATGCAGAGAAGAGGAGAGAACAAAGTAGAGTTCATGGGAAGAAGTGAGAGCATTGCCTGAAGGCCTGTAGCCAGAGGGGAATGGGAGAAGTGGAGCAATAGGATGTAGACTGGGGAGGAGGAAAATACCTGCATGACTTTTAATTTGGGTTTATAGTTGCAGATGACAGGAGATTTTTAATCACTTCCCCCTCTTCCCCACCACTTGGTTGGTCAGTGTTTGAATTAAAAGCCAAAATTAAACTGTTCTATTCTGAACTGATATGAACTATAATTTAATTGAATATTGTCTTGAATCCATTTTTCCACCCACAATTTTTGCATTATTTTCTGGCAAATAAAAAACCGTTGGAAAATTATTAATTAGAAAATGACTGGTTTCAATTATGTGTTGTGGGAGGTTTAAAGACTTGGTGACTGATGTTCACCTGATGATGTGGAAGTCACTGAGATTTCTAGAAGGTTGCCTAATTTTTTATTTATTTTTCTTTAATTTAGGCTTGTGTTAAAGTCTGTGGCTATGTTAGAAAGCAAGTGGAAAAGATTAGAAACTCTATGGATGGTAAGAACGTGGACACAGTTTTGATGGAGCTTGGAGTTCGTTTTCACCGACTTATTTATGAGCACCTACAGCAATATTCCTACAGTTGCATGGGAGGCATGTTAGCTATTTGTGATGTGGCTGAATATAGGAAGTGTGCCAAAGACTTCAAGGTAAGCATGTACAGGTTGGTGATGTGCAGCCATGTTCAAAATTAGCAGCAGGACTATTTTAATCAGACTTTGTTTGTAAGAAAGAGCATTGGAACAGGCTGCCCAGAGAGGCGGTGGAGTCTCCTTCACTGGAGACATTCAAAACCTGCCTGGACACGTTCCTGTGTGATGTGCTTTGGGTGATCCTGCTCTGGCAGGGGGGTTGGACTGGGTGATCTTTCCAGGTCCCTTCCGATCACTAAGATTCTGTGATTCTTTAATAGTTGTGTTTGTATTTGAACATTAGCATTCCATAACAAAGCCCTTTTTACAGGGGCTTGTAGCAAGGCGACAAGGGGGAATGGATTAAAACTGGAGGAGGGGAGACTTAGATGAGATATGAGGAAGAAAGTCTTTGCTGTGAGGGGAGTGAGACACTGACCCAGGTGTCCCAGGGAAGTTGTGGCTGCCACCTCCATGGAAGTGTTCAGGGGCAGGTTGGATGGGGCTTGGGGCATCCTGGTTCAGTGGAAGACATCCCTTCCCATACAGAGGGGTTGGAACCATTCTATAATTCTATTATTTCATGTACTGATGTTATATATTCTGTTGCTGTACTAGCAGTCCTTTATAACGTCCTCAAGAGCAGTTTCCTGATTGTATTTCTTGCAGTCTGTATGTTTATTCAAGTATTGAGTTTGCATTATGTGTTTTATGTATAACTTTGTGTGTGTGCATACCTCCCTGCAGATGTGTATATGTATATTTATTGTAGAATCCCAGACTGGTTTGGGTTGGAAGGGACCTTAAAGACCATCAGGTTCCAACCCCTCTGCATGGACAGGGACACCTTCCACTAAATCAGGTTGCTCAGAGCCCCATCTCATGTGTTTTTAGCCACACATGAGGACAGAATGATTGGTATAAATCCTCTGTAGGGAGGATTTATTTTGAGAATGTAGGTGGACATTGTGTTCAAGCAACTCCTAATTCCTTTTTCTTTTTTTCTCTTAACCACAGATTGCACTGGTGTTACAGCTCTTTGATACTTTGCATGCACTTTGCAATCTTCTGGTTGTAGCCCCAGATAATTTAAAGCAAGTTTGCTCGGGAGAACAACTTGCTAATCTGGACAAGAACATCCTTCACTCCTTTGTTCAGCTACGTGTTGATTATAGGTCTGCTCGTCTTGCTCGTCACTTCAGCTGAGAGCGTGGAAGGAAATGTACCTTTGGGGAGGCCTCAGCTGTTAGAAAGCACAGGGAATGATTTCTTACCAAACCAGGGTTGTAACTTTTGTGGGATAATGATTGTTCAGAATAAAGCAGCGGCCATATTTAAACATGACTATGTAGAAGGTGAGCAGGTAAAAATCTGAATGGTATTTCCTGTAAGCTGAAGATCTCCTGGTGAATGATACTGCAAATCTACTTGCTGCTGATTTTATTATTTTTTTTTTCAAATTGGAAACATGTCGGTGTATGAAGCAAGTGGTGCATTGGAAGTATTTTAGTCTTCAATATTGAATTATCAGATACCATTTGTTAGACTTGAAGTACAGAGCATAGCGTAGGTAATGGATTACATAGAACAGACCAGTGTAAAAACATTCTTCATCAATTTTAATGACTTAGACTTCAGCACAGCTAATAATAATCAAATTATCTTTGATTGGTGTTTCTAAGTAGTTTCTTTCATTTAAAACGTTATCCTACTCAGTGTAATTTCTTGCTCTAATTAATTAGCTTGGAATTTTTTTTGAGATGTAGGAGTAAGAACAACACTATCCCAGAAGGATGTAATTTACTCATTATGTAGCATTCTAAATGGAACTTAAGTGAGGAAAAAAGTTTTGGGAGTTTTTTTGGTTCTTTGCCTTTGTTTTTTTGTGCACCTAATATTTGAGGGCCCATCAGAATTTGCCAGCATTGTATAATCTGACATTTTTGTCTCTGTTTGATACTGACACACTGAATTTTATATATATGCTCCTAACGTAAATGCAGCTGCCTTGTCTAAGGCATCCTTACTACAAGGTGGAGGTGCCCATTGTTGGGTTAATGTATGAGAACTTTCTCCTTGTTCTGTATGTAAATAAATTTAGATTATAACGCAGTGAAAGGATAAAATAAAACCCAGTTTTTCAAAAGTGGACAGTGGCTCTAGCAACAACCTAGAGTTGAAAATTCCTGTGCTGAAGATAATTGATCCTCAGTGCCTGAGCAATATAAGATATTGAAGTGTGTGAAAGCTTCTCTTCTGCTAATCATAATTTTAATATGGGAGACAGGTGTCTGTTTTGCTCCAGCATTTATTCAAGGTGTTTCTGAGATAGACCCATAGTGTGCATATGGTGAATTGAAGCAACAGTGATGTTTGAAACATCTAGGGTAGCTTTTCTGCAAGCAGCTAAAAATTGTTGTAAATAGACCTTTGTTCAGAACAAGCTCTTGTGGAAAACAGATTGGAACTGCTCTGGTTTGTGTCTTCAGTCTGACTTTCATCATCCCTGAGCAACTCATCTGTAACACATTCTCTCTGCTGTGGGCTCAGCGTATGTTATGGAAACTTCTTTCTCTCCCATCTCCAGAGCAGCATTTCTATAACTTTACGTTAGGGCTCAGTCCAATAAAATTATTTTCCTCTTTTGTTAATGACTTCCCAGGTGTAGTCAATCTCGAGAGACTTCTGTGGAACTTCTCTTGGTTAGATGAGGTTCTTCTGCTTCATTTTGTATTTGGCAGAGGATTCTATCAGTAAACAAGAGAGAGGGTGCCAGACTGTCTCAAAGCATTCAGGAGGACTGGCTGCTTTGTTGAGCTGTGTAGCTCTATTCCTTGGCCATGGCAAAGCCACAAAGAATGTTGGACACTGGAGGAGGCACATGCTTATATTGCTGCCATATTTTTTTTTCCAAAGCTCTGATGTGACTTCACATGATACCTCTGTTACCTCTGTAACTGAAAGCCAACGATTTTAATGCTATGGTTTTATTAACCAGTACAAAACCTTTCTACAAAACAGTGTCAATTTGTAAACGCTTCAGAACAGTGAACACCATCTTAAGGTTGCAGATCACAGAAGTGCTTCGGAATTTGTTGTATGATTATTTGAATTATTTTAAGGTTGTATGAAATGTATTTACCATATTTCTTGCTGTGTTTTCCATGCATATGCTCAGTGCAATATTTTCATGATGCCTGTTAACAGGAGGCAGCAAAAAAAGTAGGTGAATACTTACTTAAACTTAGGTATGTAAACTCTTCCTCAATAAAAATAATTCCCTCCAGACACTTTTTTTCATTTCATTGCCATATTCTTCAAATATCTTTATACTCAATTGTATAAGTCCTTCTATTTAAAAAAAAAAGAAAAAGGAAAAGGAATAAAAGTAATTTTACTGACCAAATGGATCACTGGTGTGACATTTCCCTTTCCCCTTCCTTCAGAAAATCTCCCGTGCACACATGGAAAGAGTTTCTTTCTCTAGAGAAGACTACATCGTCAGTAAGGTTACTTTGCAATGCAAGTTGGATTGGGGTAGGGCAGGGAACTATAATTTTCACTTATTTTTTAAGTTTAGAGCTCTTATAGCATGTAATTTGGGAAAATATTTCCAGTGGCTTCTGAATACAATCAGGCACTATCGAAAAATACAAATATGCCTTTTAATGCTCATGTAATGAGTTAAAGTATTGCCTTTCTAACATTCACCCCTAGAACCTAGGCATTTAACAGGCTGGCAGCCAGATGAATGCCTGAGAGGAGGTGTATATGTGTGTGTAATTATGTTGTCTACAGCTGGTGAAAATGGCTTTGCAGTAAACTTGTAGGCTGGAAAATAAGCTGTGTTTTTACAAGTCCTATAATTTCTTAACATGCTTTGGTATTGTGTTCTGGGAGCATGTGCACAAAGGGCAGGAGGGAGTTGGTGTTCTGTGTGAATGCTTCTCAGCACAAATACAAATATGAGAAATGTGAAAATGGAAGTACTTGGGAAAATAAGATCTAGATATTTAGAAATGGAGGATGAGGAGTGAAGACGACAGGAACTAAAAGGATCTAGAGAACAAGCAGCTTCAAATGAAAGGAGGAGGTTAAAATGTGATTGATGGGAAGCTGGCATACACATCAACCTGAGAGAATAAGCAGTATGGGAATGAAAATCTCCACAGCTACACCCCCCTGAAATGAAGTGAGCCTCTAGAGGTGGTGGACTGGCAAAAATACTGGGCTGTGCAGCTGTTCCTTCATCCTGAAACTGGTGGATTCAACTGGAAGAAGCTACCCATACACCAGTGTCAGTCTGCTGGGAAGCACAGGTAGCGATGCTGTGGATGGGAGTGCTGCTTAATTCCCCTGCAAGGATCAGAGGTGCATCAGCAACATGCAGTCTGGTTGGAGGGAAGGAGAGTTTGCCAGAGCTGAACTGATTCTGGTCTTTGAAGACTGCAGTGATCTGGATAAGGGTAAGTGACTGCTTGATTTGAGAATAGCATGGTATTGACAGGGCAGCTTTTTTCACCATCGGTAACAACTTGGGTTGAGTTTTGGTTGGGTTGTTTTTTCCCCTCTTATCTTTCACAAAGTCATTTTTAATCACTGGTTGCCTTCCTTTTGAGCTGCTGCAGATAACTCATTTCAGTTGCCTGAGGAGCAATCCTTCACTACCGAGCTGGTGCTGGGGTGTTGTTACTGAGTGTTGTCTGAATTGGTTGCTCCATTTCTGTAGGAAATGGTGCAAATATGTGGCAAAAGCATGTCCTGAAGAGGATGAGGCCCTTTGGGTTTGTTCATGGCTTGCATACACGCTGGCATGTTCTTCAGAAGCCCAGAGTTCCAGACTTCTCAGTCTAAATATGTGCATGACAGTAGAACTAATGTCAGTTTTAGATGTCATGGCAAATTCCAAAGCAGAGGGATGCTCTTTGGATTAAGTTTTCATGGCAATCCCCGTCTTAATTTGGATTAGCTCTTTGAGTTGAACTGGTCTTGGATAGGGAAACCAAGGGAAACTAAGGTGATGGCTTTTCCCATATGAAAGAAGCAGCTATGTAAATTATAGCTTGTCTAATTTTTAGATGCAGATAGCAACTCTTTTCCTTTGCGCTTCTTGTCCCAGGAGCAGCAGGGAGGATAAGCCAGCTGTCAGCACCAAAAGCTACAGAGGACAACTGGAAGGTGGGAGGATCTTTTCTGTTCTTATCTTCTACTGAATATTGGCTTCAAAGCATCATCCACCATCTCTGTGCTACTTGTAAGTGGAGTTTTTGTATTTGCTCTCCGGAGTATTTTCTCTCTGAACTCCAGGTCTGGCACATTGTTTGTTTTTTTTCTTCACCAGTGTTTCTACACCTGTTTTAAGGAGAGGAGGGAGCCAGATTTCCTGCTCAGTCATGTTCACTGCTTTGCTTGTCTTTTTTTTTCCTTCCATCCTAATTTCTTTTGGTGGTAGGAGATTTCTATACCGTGTCTTCTGCTTATCTTAGAGTGGGGAAGCAGCTGTGTTTGCCTGTCTTCTTTTCTCTTGAATGGGGCAGTGCTTACTGTGTCAATATAGCCCTTAGTGTATGTGGAAGCCTTGGTTTCTACTTTTATTCTCTTAGCTGTATGCCCTAATGTCCTGTTTTCCCTTCCAGATCTCAGGATTGCTCTGTCCCTTCCTCTGTTACCACCCTATCAGAGAAAGAGAAGCCTTTAATTTTGCAGTCTGGCTTCTAGGAGACTTTGTTCAGTTCATTTTTTAATATACAGTATTATTTGAAAGTTGATACTTAGATTTTTCTTTTGGGCCCATTGAACTCCTCTCTCTCTTTTTTCTCCAAACCCAAAATTGTTGTTAGTGCTGTTGGAGCCAGGGCATGAAGAAACAAGTGTTGTTTGGGGAGGTGGGCATCACAGCAGCAAGGCTGTTGCTGAAGGCTTCCTGGCGCTGTGGCTTGTGGTTCTTAAACCTGGACTTAGCAAGGATAGAGGAAAAATGGACTAAGAGTTGTTGGTGCTTTTCATTTCTCCCCTTTCTGTGCACAATGGGGGTCTAAAGTTTTTGGGGCTGTTTCTGCTCCCCTCCTCTTTGTTGACTGGCTTTTTGCACCTCAGTCTGCCCTTCCAGTTTATTCACCTTACCCTCACCTCATCTGTTCTCAGGGCTACCCTCGTCCTTCTCAGCCCAGTCCTAAACGCTTCCAGCCCAAGGTGTATCCTGGCACAAACAAGCCCTTGCTGCGTCTTGGTTGGACCTCTGTCTTTACCATTTTGATCATCAGCCTCTTGGAGACAAGAGCTGTTGTTCTACTGAGTGGTCAGCCCCATCAAGACCATCTCTTTGCTTAAAAAGAGAGGTGAGACTGTGGAGAGAAGATGTCCCTAGAATTAACTCATAGGTGGATGAACATTATCAGGATAAGTAAGTCCTGGTAAAATACATAGTTAAAGTTCATCTCAGTTGATGCATCCAGTTGAAGATGGTAATTTTGAACTCTACATTGTTTTGACAAGGGGTATTTGAGTGTTGTAGAGAAGCCAGCTAACACCAGCGTGTGTTTGAAACATTTTTATAACATTCATTTTACTGTAAACAATTCATTAAAATGACTTGCTAAGTCTTAGACAAGTGGATTTTTGAAGGTTGCTCATTTTACTTAGCCACCCAAAGTCAATTTGAGTATGAATATATAACATTTTACTCATAATAGCAAACAACTTCAGAGAAGACAC